CCAAAGGCCCATCAAGGCCATCCTTCTGTTAATGCAGTGGCTGACCAGCTGCAAGCAGGAAGACAGCGACACCATCATCCTACCTGTGCTCCCCAGTATCAATGCTGCCTCTGGTCCTGGAGGGAGGAGCTGTCTTTCACAACTAGTAGCCAGGAACAGCCCCGTCCTCCATGAATTTGTCCACTCCCCTTTTAAAGTCTTCCAAGTTGGTGGCCATCACTATAAGGTGGGGCAGCAAATCCCACCACTTAAACGCGGAGTCTGTATAATTTTTTAAAAATAGATTCAGGTGGGTAGCCGTGTTGGTCTGAAGCAGCAGAGCAAAGTTTGCATCCTTGAGACCAAGAAAGTTTAATTCTGGACAGAAGCGTTGCACGCACACGAAAACTTAGACCCAGAATAAGATTTTACTGGTCTTAAAGGTGCCACTGGACTCAAAAACATTTTTAAAGTTAGAGTCGCCCAACTTATTGAAAAGAAAACCTACCCAAAGCAGTCAAGATTCCGCTCACCACAGCTGGCCCACCGTGGATGTGGAATTCAGCAACATCTTCCCCCGTGAAACTGCCAGGCCCTGAAAAGCAACACGACAGTCCTGGGAAGTCACTGTCCTCAGTCCAGAAGCAAAAGAAGAAGGACACATGAAGCTACATTATACTGAGACAGGTTCTTGATCCATCAAGGTCACCATTGACTACTCAGACTGGCAGTGGCTCTCCAGATCTCAAATAGAGGTCTTGCAGAACATAAGCATGTAAGAACATAAGAGGAGCCATGCTGGATCAGGCCAGTGGCCCATCCAGTCTGTGTCACACAGTGGTCAAAACCCTGGTGCCATCAGAAGGTCCACAGCAGGGCCAGAACTCCAGAAGCCCTCCCACTCTTGCCCCTCAAGCACCAAGAAGACAGAGCATCACTGCTCCAGAAAGTGTTCCCTCTATACCTTGAGGCTAATAGGCACTGATGGACCTCTGCTCTATATGTTTCTCCAATCCCCTCTTGAACCTGTCTATGCTTGTAGCCACCACCACTTCCTGTGGCAGTGAATTCCACCTGTTAATTACTCTTTGGGTGAAGAAGTACTTCCTTTAACTGTTCTAAGCCTACTGCTTATTAATTTCATTGAGTGCCCACAAATTCTTGTACTGTGAGAAAGGGAGGAAAGTACTTCTTTCTCTGCCTTTATCCCATGTGTAATTTTTCTAAATCTCTGTCATGTCACCCCTCAGTCATCATTTCTCCAAGCTAAAGAGTCCTAACCTCTTTAACCCTTCTTAATAGGGAAAGCGTTCCATCTCCTTAATCATTTTAGTTGCCCTTTTCTGCACCTTTTCCAATGCTATCATATATTTTGAGATGTGATGCCCAGAACTGTACACAGTATTCCAAATGAGGCCACACCATTGATTTATACAGGGGCATTATGATACTGGCTGATTTGTTTTCAATCCCCTTCCTAATAATCCCCTGCATAGCATTTGCCTTTTTTATTGCTGTCATACATGGAGTTGACATTTTCACTGAGTTATCTACTATAACTCCAAGATCTCTCTACTGGTCTCCACCAGTTTGGACCCCATCAACGTGTATTTATAGTTAGGATTTTTGGCTCCATTGTGCATTACTTTGCACTTGCCCATGTTGAACCTCATTAGCCACACTGACACCCAGTTGGCCAGCCTCAAGAGATCCCTCTGGAGCACCTCACAATCCTCCCTAGTTCTCACCATCCTGAACAACTTAGTATGATCCTCAGCCACTTCACTGCTTACTCCCAACTCCAAATTATTAATGAACAAGTTAAAAAGCACTGGACCCAGTACTGATCCCTGCAGTACCCCACTGCTTACCACCCCTCCACTGTGAAAACTACCCATTTATATTCATTCTCTGTTACCTGTTAATCACCCAGTTTTTAATCCACAAGAGGACTATTCCCCTTTCCCATGATTTTTGAGCTTACTTAGGAGCCTTTGATGAGGACCTTTATCAAAAGTTTCTGGAAGTCTAGGTAAACAATATCTATTGGGTCGCCCTTGTCTACATGTAAATACATAAATTCTAAAATGTCCACATCAACTACCACTTGATCCTTTTAACTGGTGATGCTGGGGATTGAACCTGGGACTTTCTGCATGCCAAGCAGATACTCTACGAATGAGCTACAGCCCCTCCCAAAAGGACTGCCTTACCCTGACCTCTGAGACCAGCCTCAACAGCACAGAGGTTTTGGTTTTCTAACCTGGGAACCACAGAACAAGGCCCCGGTCCAGCATTTCCGAAGATTCCGGGTCATAGATCCGGCGCAAGGCAGCCGATCGCGAGAGTGGCAGCTTGTTTGTCCCCGTCAGCTGGAGTAAAGCCAGACCACTGGATGGGCCACTGGTTCGGATCACAGCCACGCCACATTTCCCTCGGCCAGAAGACAAGGCAAAGATGGTGTCCCTTTGGGCAGCCTGACTGTACCACCTGCAACAGCCACAGCAAAGAGAGAGAACACATCATATGGGCTAGCTGAGAGGGGACACCCAGGGGACTGCCGCAAACCCTCTGGGCTTCCAAGAAGTTTGACAAACACATGGGGCTTGCAAAACAGTGCAATAGCGCAGAAGCAAGACTCTCTCCTGTGAGATGATTCAGAACAACTGCAACTTATACACTTCTCACATTTGTTTAGGCAAGAAAATATATTTATTTTATTCAGACCCAATGTGGTATAGTGTGGGTGTGAGACCAGGACCTGGGCAATGCAGGCCCTGATCAAGGAGAAAAGCAAAATATAAATTCTAAAACATTGTTAAAAACAACTATTCAGGCAGCTGGGTTTTTTTTTTTTTTACCAAGAACATTATTATAGAGTTGAAAGGGATCTCTAGAGTCATCTAGTCCAACCCCCTGCACAAGGCAGTAAATTCACAAATAACTCTCCCCTGATACCCCCAATGACTGCTGTTTCACACCCAGAAGATGACAAAAACCTTCCAAGATCTCCAGCCAAAATGGCCTGGAGAAAAATTGCTTCTTGACCTCAAAGTGGCAATCAGTATTTCCCTGGGCGTGTAAGAAAGGGCCACAAGAACTAAGCACTGAGGCAACCCATCTCACAATCTGCCTAGGGTCACAGAATCAGCATTGCTGTCAGATAGATGGCCATCTAGTCTCTGTTTGAAAACCTCCAAAGAAGGAGAGCCCACCACCTCCCAAGGAAGCCTGCTCCACTGAGGAACTGCTCTGTCAGAAAGTTCTTCAGATTCAATTTCAATCCGTTGGTTCTGGTCTGACCTTCTGGGGCAACAGAAAACAACTCTGCACCATCCTCTAGATGACAGTTCTTCAAGAACTTGAAGATGGTTATCATACCATGTCTCTAGGCTGAACATACCCAGCTCGTTCAACCTTTCCTCAAAGGACTTGGTCTCCAGACCCCTCACCATCTCTGTTTGGTGTAGTGGTTAAGTGCGCGGACTCTAATCTGGGAGAACCGGGTTTGATTCCCCACTCTTCCACTTGCACCTGCTGATGTGACCTTGGGTCAGTCACAAGCTCTGGCACAGCTGTCCTTGCAAAAAAGCAGTTTGTGTCAGAGCTCTCTCAGCCCCACCCACCTCACAGGGTGCCTGTTGTGGGGAGGGGAAGGAGTTTCTAAGCCGCTCTGAGACTCCAAGTGAAGGGCGGGGTATAAATCCAATCTCTTCTTCTTCTTCTTCTGTTGCCCTCCTCTGGACACAGTCCAGCTTGTCTAGATCCTTCTTAAATTGTGGTGCCGAAAACTGAACACAATACTCTAGGTGAGGTCTAACCACAGCAGAGTAAAGTTACCGTGATCCTCCTCTTCCCCCTTCTTGAAGGTGGGGACAACATTTGCCTGCCTCCAGTCCTCTGGCACGGTGGCGCCCCACCTGTTCTTCTGGGTACAAGCTTTTGAGTGCGAATGCAACGAAGTTTAATTCCAGGTATATACCCAGAATTAAACTTCGTTGGTCTTCAAGGTGCTCACTGGATTCAAACTTTGTCCTGTTGCTTCAGACCAACACGGCGGCGACCCACCTGAATCTATTGTTAAAAGGAATTCCACGCTGCAACGTGGGCTGCTCCAAGCAACTAACACCCCCCCTCCCCAAGCTCCTGGGACCGAAGGAAGATTGCTTCCTTCCAACACGGGAAAAGGCCGGTTCGATTCCTGCTTCTTAAACGCGCATGATCGCGGCGGGGAGGGGGGGTCCTACTGAGACCTTCCATGCCAAGGGATTCAGCCAAGCCAAACACCCCCCTCCCCCTATTCCCTCGCTGCCAGCCTCGAGGGCAGACCCGCCCCAATACGCACCTGCAGAGGACCCGAGCTCTTCTTGCAAAGCAATGCCCGGCAGCTGGCAGGCCTGGCCCCCACACAAGCCACATGGTCCCAGGAAGAAGCAGGAAGGGCAAGGGGGACCGGACCGCCCCCCTTCCTCTCGCTCGCCAGCCCCCGCCCCGCTCCTCGCCCCCAACCTGCCCCAACTCAGCCCCCGCCAACCTCGCGTGACGCAGCCGCCGGCTTCCACTGCGGGCAGCGTGCTGTCCTACAACGTGATTGGTCCAAGCGAGAAAGGGGCGGGGCGGACCCGCGTGTCCTGGGGAAGCCTTGGGCGGAGTTTGGGGCCGCGGCTGCGGAGTTGGGGAAAGAGGGTAGCTTGCTTCCTTCAGACGTTTTTTGTTTCTTTTGCGATGCATCTTGGGATGCCGGCAGAGTTTGCAAACTTGCACTCGGCTTTTAAAGCAAGGCTGGTTTCTTTGGTTGGAGCCTGCAGGAAAGAGAATATCTGGAAGAGAGCCAAGAGTCCAGCGGCACCTTCAGGTCTAACGCAGTTCGGGGCAGGGAAGAAGCTTTCGTGAATCACGGCGCACTTCTTCAGATAGATCAAGGCGGGTGGCCGTGTTATCCTGTCTGTAGCGGGAGAAAAGAGCAAGAGTCCAGGAGCACCTCCAAGACCAGCAACGTTTGCGGCAGGGTAGGAGCTTGCCTGAGTCACTGCTCACTTCTTCAGATAGATCCAGATGGGTAGCCATGTTAGTCTGTCTGTAGCAGGAGAAAAGAGCAAGAGTCCAGGAGCACCTTAAAAAGTGACAAAATTTGCAGCAGGGGAGGAGCTTTCCTGAGTCACTGCTCACTTCTTCAGATAGATCCAGATGGGTGGCCATGTTAGTCTGTCTGCAGCAGGAGAAAAGAGCAAGAGTCCAGTGGCACCTTCAAGACAATTTGTCACTGGTCACTTCTTCAGATATCCCACCTTGCCACTAATGTTCTTAGTCTTTAAGGTGCGACTGGACTCTTGCTCTTTTCTGCTGCTATATACAGATTAACACGCCCACCCATCTTGAACTATCAGAAGTGAGCAGTGATTCACAGAAGCTTCTTCCCTGCCCCCTACTGTGTTAGTTTTGAAGGTGCTCCTGGAATCTTGCTTTTATCCTACTACAGACAAACACGGCTACCCATCTTGATGTATTTTATTTTATTTTTATCTATTTATTTGTATCTGAAGAAGTGAGCAGCGACTCAAAAAAATCCATCCTCTGCCACAAATGTTGTTAGTCTTGAAGATGCCTCTGGACTCTTGCTCTTTTCTCCTGCTCCAGACAGACTAACACAGCCACCAATGCTCCCTCTAAGCTGTGGAGTCTTGTGAGCAAAAATTCTACTTTGTGAACTACTGGCATTAAAGTTGTGAGCAGGTGATTTGGCTACTGCATAAATTAGTTTCCTCTGGGGCCCTCCTTTATGAGCTAAGACAAAAATGTGTGAGTCGGAGGCTAAAAAACTGAGCTAGCTCACACTAACTCAGCTTACAGGGAACACTGACAGCCACCCATCTTGATCTACCTGAAGAAGTGAGCAGTGACTCAAGAAAGCTTCTCCCCTGCCACAAATGTTGTTAGACTTTAAGGTGCCCCTGGACTCTTGCTCTTTTCTCCTGCTACAGACAATCACAGCTATTCATCTTGTTCTATCTGAAGAAGTGAGCAGTGACTCAGGAAAGCTCCTACCCTTGACACAAATGCCACTGGACTCTTGCTTTTTTCTACTGGAACAGAGATGAAAGAGAGGCGATTTGCAACCCATAGGCATCAGGAGGCACCGCAGAATTGTCAAAATCTGCTTCTGTACAGCTAAAATATTTTTTTGCTATTCATGACCTAATGTGGTTAACGCTGAATGGGAATAGGGAATCACATGCAGGGTATGCTCAAGTGCACCATGGCTGGTAGTGCAAACTGGTTTGATTACTACCTTTGATGGAAAAGACACACATCCAGACACATTGCATATTTGTTACTAGAACAATTTGGAGAGCATGTGCAGTTTCCAGGAGAGATTATCCATGGCCTACTATGTTAACTTTTAGCAATTGCACATCATATGAGAAAGCAACACCTAGCTGTAAAGAATATATATTTTCATATATTTATTTCTAGATGTGTGTTGTTTTACAATAGTAATATTGACCCTAAGGAGCCGAAATGCATACGGTCTACTGCAGGGGTGTCAAACTCATTTTTTATGAGGGCCAGATCTGACATAAATGAGACCTTGTTGGGCCGGGCCATGTGCGTTATAAAATATAATGCCAGGTAATGGAAATATAAGCTTATAAAGGACACAAACACAAAGGTTTTTTTTTTACTTAAAATAAAAACATGCTTAAAACTTTAGCACTCTTGCAAGATTTTGTTTATTTAACAGTGTCTGATAACTGACACCTCTTGCCCTGAATTATTGCATCAAAATGTCTGTGCTGTTGCAATCTTGAGTATGGTGCTCAGGTGTGTATCTGTAAGCTGCAAACCTACGATGACGCAGGAGCAGCAGAACTGGAAGAAGAAGCAGAAGACAGCCAGTTCCACTGCAGGCCTGATAGAAGCCCTCCGAAGGCCTGATCCAG